TGTCTGAGACTGTAATCACTGCTGAACTCCAGCGCGAGCGTCTTCTATAGATGATATTCCACGCAGCTGCAGATGAACTGAGATGAACGAGGGAAACTCTTGTGTTGTGCAGCTGATGCGTTTGAGGAAGTGAGTGTTGAAAGTGCTTAGAAAGAGCTAAAAGCAGCGCGGACAGGAAACGCATCCTCAGCTCAAAGATGAGCTGAAACAGGAAGTGGAGTTTTCGATTGAAGACACCTGAGGTAGTGTGTGTCAGCCACCGAAACGCGCAGCTCAACCCAACTCATCCGAAAGTATTCCTCTGACCGATACGCTTTCATTCAGGGTGAGTGATGATGAACTGCGGCCTCAGGCTGTGTTTGCAATCGCATACTGCTCACACTACTCAAAACTATACACACTACTCATACTATACACACTACACTACTCACACTACTCATACTATACACACTATACTACTACACACTACACTAATCAAACTATCACACTACTCAAAACTATACACACTACTCATACTATACACACTACACTACTCACACTACTCATACTATACACACTGCTACTACACACTACACTACTAATACTATACACACACTACATTGCTCACACTACTCATACACACTATACTAATCAAACTATACGCACTACTCATACTATTCACACTACACTACTCATACTATACACAATATACTACTACTACTAGACACTACACTACTCAAACATACACTTTATTCATACTATACACACTACACTGCTCACACTACTCATACTATACACACTGCTACTACACACTACACTACTAATACTATACACACACTACATTGCTCACACTACTCATACACACTATACTAATCAAACTATACGCACTACTCATACTATTCACACTACACTACTCACACTACTCATACTATACACACACACACACACACACACACACACACTATACTACTACTACTACTACTAGACACTACACTACTCAAACATACACTTTATTCATACTATACACACTACACTGCTCACACTACTCATACTATACACACTGTACTACTACACACTACACTACTCAAACTACACACTACTCATACTATACACACTACACTACTCACACTGCTCACACTATACACTACTACTACTACTACACACTACACTACTCAAACTACACACACTTCTCATACTATAAACACTACACCACTCTAGACTTGTGCCGGTATTCGGTAATGCGATATATCACGGTAATGAATATGCACGATATTGTTATCGTGGATACCGTGATAAAAGCATTAGCAATTAATCGCAACATGAAAATTTGATACCGGCATATCCCTACATCACTCACAATGCTCATACTATACACACTACACCACTCACACCGCTAACACTACTCATACTGTACACACTATACTACTACACAATACACTACTCACACTGCTCATACTATGCACACTATACTTCTCACACTACACATACTATACTTCTCATACTATACATACTATACACACTAAACTGCTCACACTACACACAGTGCTCACACAACACATACTATACACACTATACTACTCGCACTACTACACATACTACAAATACTACTCAGTGCTCACTATACACAAATTATACACACCATACTGCTCACACTACACAAAGTAGACATACAATACTATACACACTATACAATCTACTCACACATGCTCACACAACACATACTACACAAACTATATATTATACTACACACTACTCACACTGCACATACTACACATACAATAGACAATATGCTACTCACACTGCACATATTATACACACTACTACACACACTACTTACACTACACCAACTACACATTATACACACTATACTACTTAAACTGCTCACACTACACCTACTATACATACTAATACTACACATACTACTCAACACATAGTATACAAACTGCACACTATACTACTTGCACTGCTCACACTACCCATACTACTCACACTACTCATTATACTACTCACTCTTCACATACTACTTATACTTCTCACACTACACGTACTAGTCAAGCTACACATACTATACAAACTATACACACTATACTACTCACACTGCTTAAACTCCACATGAACATACTATACACACTACACTACTCACACTACACATACTATACATATTAATACTACTATACTAATACTACACATACTACCCATACTACTTCTCACACTATACATACTACTCACACTAAACACGCTACTCAGACGTCTCATATTATCACTATATTAACACCACTCACTCTACACATACTACTCATACTATTTTTCAGTGTGTACTCTGTACGACCTACTACATTTGCTATACTGAGCAGAACAACAGAGCAAAACTAGTCACCAGTATGCAGGTATATACTGCAGTGTGCATCGATTATCTCATTGTGAACAGCACAGACCGTGTGCATCGACCTGCGGCTGGTTCAGTGTTTGTGGTTTGAAGCTCCAGCTCAGATCTTTACTCAGGACTGTTCTGGGGTCAGTGAAGAGCGCTCAGCTCTGCTGTGTGTCCTGCATCAGTCCTTCAGTCACTATAAATCAATCCTCTCAGTCTCTCCTCCTGTTTTCTGTGTCAGCGATCTGCCGGCGGTGTGTGAATGGATTCAGAGCTGCGTAGTTCACGTTCTGTGAGTGAGTTTGATGTGGAACAGGTTCTGCTCACATCAGTGAACTTCATGTAGACAGAGACTTATCGTTCATGATTCAGAAGCATCTTCATGCTCTTTATGAGTCACTGACTGAGTTTACATGCACACCAGATTCTGTTTCAGCTTTACTCTGGATATGATTTTTATACAAGTACATCATTGGGAATATATTCCTGTATATACACATGGTTGTTGATCTACAGATGCTTGTTTACTTTCCCGAGAGATTCCAGATGTATGTGCTCAACTATTAGTTTGATATGCTGGTGTTCTGCTTAAACCCCGCCCCTTTCTTACAGTCCAATGCATTTAGCTCCGCCTACATTTTGAGTGCCACGCCCATATCTCAACATCCAATCAACAACTGATGGAGAGAACTAAGTTTCTACAGCCGGACATTTTTCCTTCAGAATCATTCCGATTTATTATCAATGTTGAAAACAGTTACTTTTTTTCAGGATTCTTTGATGAATAAAATGTTCCAAAGAAATGCATTTACTGAAAATGGAAATCTTTTCTAACAATATAAGTCTTTATTATCACTTTTTATCAATTTAACACAAGTATTAATTTCTTTAAAAAAAATAAAAAAAAATTACTGACCCCAAACTTTTGAACGGTCGTGTATATGGTTACAAAAGACTTCTACTTTAAATAAATGCTGTTTTTTTAAAAACTTTTTATTCATCAAAGAATCCTGAAATATCACAGTTTCAAAAAAAAATATTAAGCAGCAATTGATAATAAACATTGATAATAAATCAGCATATTAGAATGATTTCTGAAGATCATGTGACACTGAAGACTGGAGTAATGATGCTGAAAATACAGCTGTGCATCACAGAAATACATTACAGTTTAACAGATATTCACATAGAAAATGGTTGTTTGAAATTGTAAAAATATTTCACAATATTACAGTTTTTTTCTGTATTTTTGATCTTCACTGACTCTCATTCATTCATGATCTGATCTGATAACAGACGACACTGATTCTGCAGACGTCTGTCAGAACCAGACTGATCCGAACTGATGTGGTTCAGTCCCGTCTAACAGCGGTGAGTTAACCTGGTTAATTTCCAGCAGGGGATGTCCGGTCCTGAGCCGGTCGCCATGGCGACAGGTGTGTTTGTAGATGTGAGTGTGACGGATGCAGAGAGTCTGTCATCACGCGTCACCTGCGCGCTGACCTTTGACCCCATCGGGACACACGTCAGACAGATGAGCAGGAAACGCACTGACAGTGTGCACTTCCTGTCACGAAATGTCACTGAATTAGACAAATTTTGGATGAATGAATCAAAAGGAGGGCTGTACACTGAATCATATGCTGATATGAACAAGTGTGTGTGAATATAATTTTTTTTCCATGTTTTAATTTAAAAAATAAACCTCATTTTACAAGATTAATTAAATTGTTATAGTTTCATGCATTCATTTGATTACCAGCGTTTTTGATCATTTCATTTGTATTAAATCATAAACATTGAATCTAGAAAAATTAAAACAGACTTCTGAAAAAATAAAACACATTTCATAAAATTTTAATAAAATTATATAATTGTTGAACATTTACAAATTTAGTTTATTAGACATCCTTTTTTATTATTAAAATTTAAGTAAACCATTAAAATGGAATCCAGAAAAAATAAAAACAGAAAACATGGAATTTTTTATATAAAATAAAATGAAAAATAAAATGGATTTCATTGGGCCTTATTATTGTTAAAATTTTAATAAATTATTAAATTGTTAAATATTTACAAATTGAATTGATTAGACAATTTTTATTGTTAAAATTTAAATAAAACATTAAAACTGTCATGCCCTTGGACTGCCCCTGTGTTCCTGTCTTGTGTTTTGCTCCCCATGACCCAGTTTCTCCAGTGTTTGATTGTGTTCATTGATTTCAGGTGTTTCTCGTTAATTCCCTCGTTTGGTTCCAGTTATTTAAGCCCAGTGTTTTCTTGAGTCCAGTGATCGGTGTTATATGTCAACTCTTTGTCCTACGTGTGTGTTACTCTGTTTGGTTTATTAAAGACTCCTTTGTAAATTTTCCCCCGTCTCCGTGTCTCCTCGCTCCAACACAGTAGGCAGATCGTAACAGAACACCGAACCTGCAAACAGTAAGCAGCGCCCCTTCGTCCCGTTTTAAAACTAAAACATGGAATTTAGTGGGAAAAGTAATAAAATGGATTTCATAGAGCACTATCATTGTGAAAATGTTATTAAATTATTCAGTTGTTAAAATTGACTTTTAACCATTAAGTTAAATTAAAAAGTTTTAAATTGAGTTTTGTGTGTGTGTGTGTGTGTGTGTGTGTGTGTGTGTGTCAGTGGCATTTAGACTGGCGTGATGACGGAGGAGCGCTGTCCTCAGCTGGTGGATTATTTCGTGGTGGCGGGTCTGGCAGGCGACTCGTCTCCGCTGGACGAGGAGGGTCAGCAGAGGGGCGTGCGAGCGCTGCAGCCCGTCACTGATCTGGCCGTGATCGCCCGTGGCCTCGGGGAAGACGTTCCTGAGGGCTTCACCTGCATCGAGAAGACCCAAGCAGGCCATCCGGCGGAGCTGAGCGCAGGCCTGCTCAACAACACACACATGTTCCTGTGCTACCGCAGAGGACACGACAAACCGCCCCTCGTCGAGCTCGGGTGAGAGAACACACCGGAAATAGACCATTCAACCTTTTAGACAACATTTAGAAAAAGTTTGCATGTGTGATTTTGTTGATCCATCAGGCTTTAATGGCTCATATAGTCTGATACAGTGAGAACATAGAGCTCAGTTTTATTCAGAGACTCAAACTGAGCAAAAATGTAGATCGAGTGTGAAACAGGTTTAACAGCAGAGTTTGATCATTTAGTCCTGTGTGTGTCAGATATGAGAAGCGGCTCGTTCACGTCGACTGATGGATGTGTTTTGTGTGTGTGTGTTTGTGTCAGTGTTCTGTACGAGGGCAAGGATCCGGTCCGGTCGGGATGGCAGGTGATCGAGACGACTCCGTACAGTCGTTCTGCGAGCCTGAGCTCCGGCGGTCCCACGATGCACCGCACTTTCCTGATGTTCCGCCGAGCGCCGGACTCACAGGCGCTGAACACGCTGGGCATCACTGAGATCTCGCTGCTGATGCCTAGCAAGGGCGAGACGGCGCCGCACACCTACTGCAGAGTGGACAAGAACCTCAACACCGGCATGGTGATGATTCACTGAGTCACTGATTCATTGAGTCACTGAGTCACTGATTCATTGAGTCACTGATTCACTGACTCACTAATTAATTGAGTCACTGACTCACTGAGTCACTGATTCATTGAGTCACTGATTCACTGATACATTGAGTCACTGATTCATTGAGTCACTGATTCACTGACTCACTGATTCACTCAGATGATCGAGTGTTTCTCTCAGCTTTATTTTTTAAGCACTCATTGGTTTGTTACCTCCATATCAAACAACTTACACTGGTCAGTATGATTTTTTTTCAATACTTTTATTCATCAAGGATGCATTAAATTAATCAGTAAAGACATTTATAATGTTACAAAAGATATTTCAGTCAAATAAATCCAACACTGTAATGGCTGCTAAAAATTAAGCTTTGCTATCACAAGAATAAGTTACGTTTTAAAATATTTTCAAATAGAAAGCAATTATTTAAAATTGTAATAATATTTCATAATTTTACTGTATATTTGATAACTTAAAATAGAATAACATAAAATAAAACAAAATAAAATTGCAATAAATTATAACAAAACAATTATAATTCATTTAAAATGGAAAAAAATTGTATATTTGATAACTTAAAATAGAATAACATAAAATAAAACAAAATAAAATTGCAATAAATTATAACAAAACAATTATAATTCATTTAAAATGGAAAAAATTAAAATGAAAATTAACATTTTTACAGATTACTTATATATCATATTTGCATAGAAAACAGCTATTTTAAATTGTAATAATATTTCACTTTTTTTTTACTGTATTTCTGATCAGATAAATGCAGCCTTGATGAGCAGAAGAGACTCTTTCAGAAACATTAGTAGATCTTACTGACCTAAACATTAGCACTCTGCTGTGTGTTGGTATGCAGTGGATTTAAATCTGTCTCAGTGTGTGTTAAACGAGCGCTGAGCTTGTAATTATGTCCACATCTGCTTCTCCTTCCTATTGAAACACACTTCAGAAAACACCATCAGTTGTGAACTCCCTCTTCTGCTTTTTTAGTCCACGCACACACACGCACACACACACACACACACACACACTCACTCACTCACTATATATACTGTGTGTGCATCTGCAGTCTGTAAGCTTGTGTGTGTGTGTGTGAGTGTTCAGGTCTGATCAGTCGCTATCCAGAGGAGGATCTGGAGTCGTTTCCGCTGCCGGACTCTGTTCCGGTCTTCTGTCTGCCGATGGGAGTGACGGTGGAGAGCTGGCCGCTCAACACTAAATACCAGCTGCCCATCTTCTCCACGTTTGTCCTGACCAGTGCCTCCGGAGACAAGGTCCGTCTGCTCACAGCTTATGACCCGTTCACACCAATAACAACCAGATCAGCGTCCAGTTCTCTGCATGCTAGTGCCCGACGACTTAATACTTTTATTCATCAAGGATGCATTAAATTGATCAAAAGTGACATTTATAATGTTACAAAAGATTCCTATTTCAAATAAATGCTGTTCTTTTGAACTTTCTATTCATCTGTGAATCCTGAAAAATAAAATGTATCACAGTTTCCACAAAAATATTGTGCAGCACGACTGTTTTCAACATTGATAATAATCAGAAATGTTTCTTGAGCAGCAAATCAGCATATTAGAATGATTTCTGAAGATCATGTGACACTGAAGACTGGAGTAATGATGCTGAAAATACAGCTCTGATCACAGAAATACATTACAGTTTAACAGAGATTCACATAGAAAACAGCTATTTTAAATTGTAAAAATATTTCACTATTTTTACTGTGTTTTTGATCAAAGGTTTGCTCAGTGTAGCGTTGCATTGCAGCTGATGGTTTGGTACTCCATCTCTGGACCGCATGTGCTGCCGCTGGAGAAGTGAGTGATGCTCACACCAGAACACGTTCAAACCTGTGTGACTGAAACATTCATTACCTTTTTGACCATTCAAACCATTTCAGATCTGTATAACTGCTTGTTTTATTTACTGTCGGCAGGTTAAAATAATTAAGCACAAATTAAAGGTTTTGATCCCAGATGTTTCAAGAACGGCACATTCTTTGGGGTTTTTGGTCTTTTTTTAATCAAGTTGATTTAGTTGATGGATGTTGTTAAGGATTTTAAAAATATTTTTTTACTTACAATAAACAAATTCACAAGAAACGTCCTTTTTGATAATTTATTTATTTTGATATTTAATATTTTAGCTCTAAAAAACACATTTTAATAAATGTAAAAAGAACACTGGTACTCAAAAGATCCCTTTATGGAATAAAAATAAATGTAATTGCAACTTTTTATCTTTAATCACTACTTTATTTCCCAAAATTCTGAGAGACAAAAATTTGAAATGCAAGATATAAACAGAATTCAGATTTTTTTTCTTCTTGCAATACTGAGTTTTTTTTGTTTTGGGAATAAAAAATGAAAAAGTTAATTGCAACTTTTTATCTTTTTCTCACAATTGCTATTTTATATCTCATAATTCTTAGTTTTGAAAAAAAAAAAGGTCTAAATTGTGTGATATAACCTCAGAATTGCAAGAAAAAAAATCTGATTTTTTTTTTTTGATATTTTGTGGCAGAAATGAGGTTCCATTATTTTGTCCATATAATGAAAGTCAATGGAGTCCAATGTTGTTTGGCTCCCAAATATCTTCTTTTGTGTTTCATGTGAGAAATAAAGTCATAGCGGTTTGAAACAAGAAAATGATGACAAAATGATAATTTCTGGCCGAACTATAACTTTAAGAATGTATTTTTTTGTGAAAACCTGCATCTGTTTTATGTCTGTAATATTACGTATATACGAGTGAAGCAGGATATTGAAAGGAAAAGGCAGGACTTATTTGTATGAATTGAATTGATTGTGTTAATGAAAGAATCCTTTTGTCCGTCCGTCTGCAGGCACATCTCGAGCTTCATGCACAACGTCCCGTTCCCGTCCGCTCAGCGTCCTCGGATCCTGGTGCAGGTGATTGATCTCAGATGAGTCTCAGAGTCTCAGCATGAGCTCGACGTGTCGTTAAACCCTGACGCTTCCCGCAGGCGCCGGCCGCTGTGGCGCACAGACACGTGGGTAACGGGGGGGTGATGAAGCTCAGTCATCCTCCTCCTCTCTGACTGTAGCGTAGAGATCCAGAGCTAATCACTTCAATCAATAGTCCAGTGCTTGATATCAAACTGATTGAGTGATTGATTGATTGATTACGAGTTAATCTGGTGCTGGGCGGGAAATCAAAGCATGAGGTGGAGGAGAAAATCAGTGTGACATGAACTCAGAACTGTGTGTGTGTGTATGTGTGTGAGTGTGTGTGAGTGTGAGTGAGAGTGAGTGAGTGTGTGTGTGTAGTTTTTGGTTCGTCCTCACCGGAGAAGTGTTTGAAGATATTTTTTGAAAATGGCCAAAGTCTCAGCTGTTCAAATTGAGATAAGGAGGTCATTCCATCGGCTGGGCACAGTCCAGAAAAAGGTCCCTGATAGTGATTTTGTGCCTCTTTGGGATGGTACCTGTTGGATTACAAATGTAAGAATCTGTTTAAAATATGCTGATCCTATGTTCTGACATAGCATCACATGAAAAACTAAGGTGAAGTACATTGTATTTAGCATTTAAGGTAAATGACATCAGACAAATGATCTCTTAAGCAAAGTTTGTAGCAAGAGGTTCCAGTCAGTTCCTGTTCTCTTATTGTTAGTCAAATGAACCAGATTACTGAGACAGTACCTAGGATAGCAAAGTCCACTAAAGGAGGTAGAGCTTTTTCGCATTTGGCTC